CAGGGCTGTTTGTCTTTGGGATTTTTCCTCTTTTGAAAATGTTTCCAGATTAATACCTTTGATCTGGCTTTATCTGCCTCACAGATCTTAGGTTTTTGTTTTCACTGCATGACTAACAATAGCAACCCCTCGCATTTGAAAATCTCTTCACATATATTGTTTTCTTCAGTTCTTGTAATAATCCTGTACAGAATTCTGGGAATTCTTTTGTTTTCATTTTGGAGATGGGGAAGTCAGCTTAGAGTGATTTGTCCAAGTTATATAAGTAAAAGAAGCATCTAGACCAGAATCCAGACACTGCAGTCCTGAAACAGTACATATTCCATCACTTCTAAGGGTTCATGTTCTTCACAGTAGATTCTTTTTATCATTAATAATACTACAGTGCATATTCGAAAGTTTCTAAGAGTAAATCTTTTTATTTTTTAATTAAATGTTTATTGATTTTTAGAGAGAAAGGAAGGAAGAGGGACAGAAATATCATCAATTGACTGCCTCCTGCACACCTCCACTGGGGATCGAGCCTTGCAACTTGGACCACTGCCCTGACCAGGAATTGAACCAATGATCTATTGGTTCATGTGTCAGCTGGGCTAGTGCCCTGACAGGGAATCAAACCAGTGACCTATTGGTTCATGGGTTGACGCTCAACCACTGAGCCACACCAGCCAAGCTAGATTTAGTTAAAAATATATCTTATTATGGAATCTCAAGGAAGGCATATATCAAACAAAACAGTTTTGTAAACTTATTTACTCAATTATTTAAACAATTAAAATTTGTTGGGTGCTTACTAAGTGCCAAATATTGTGAAAAAAAAATATCTGTGCATTCTAGGAACTCACCTATTAAAAGAAATAACCTTAAAAGCAAAAGTGTCAGAGAGGTAAAATAAGGCATTAGACTTGCTCTAAGGCTGGGAATGTCCCTTCCCCAGCACTGAAAAGTAAGACTTTATAAAGGGAAAGGGGTAATATTTAACTTCAAATCTGACATCCAGGTAGAATCTATCTATTATCTATCATCTATCTATCTATCTATCTATCTCTCATCATCATCTAGGAGCAAAAAGTTATTTGGAGAAATGAGTCTGGATGCTATTTATTTTTACTATATAAAAAACTATAGCTTTCCAGAGGTGCTGAACTGGGGTGGGTGTCCCCAACAGCAACCACATCATTTGCCCAAAGTCCCGCCCTTTTTTCTTCAAATGTATTACATTGTGAGTTAGTACATCCTGGACCCTCATCTAAGTGCTCCTCCCAGGAGACTGATATGCTGAGAAAAAGTGTGGAAATTGTTCCACAGACAAAGTGTACATTTGCTAAATTGTAATAATGTCTACACGCTTCAGTCAGGCAATGATAATTCTCTAGCATTTGATCTCGACGTTTCCAAGCTTCTTTCTTGCTGCTTCTCCCTACCCCTCTGAGATACAAAGCCAGTGCTCTAGCTATCCCTGCCTGTTCCATGAACAAGCTGTCCCTTTCTGAGCCTTGTGCCTTTGTTTGTATACTAGTATAGTTTCATTTACCTGTTAAGATGAGAGTTTGGGGCTGTATTGCGTTCTACCATGGTTATCTGTATTCCTCTGTGCCTTCTCAGTATAATAAAAAAATCCATATCCTACAACTCCTCACATAGCACCTTATGTGTATATAGCATACACTCTATTGAAGTTTACCTAATTTGCTTAGATAGCTTCACATTCTCTCAAACTTCAGTATTTTATGGCGCAACGTATTGAACTTCAGATTTTTTGTGCCTGATCAGAAATACTATCTGGACATTGAGGTACCCTCCAGACCTGCAGTAAAGAGCACCTATATCCAGACTGCCCCTCAGGGTCCAAGCAGGAAATTGCCCACCCACCCGGCCGTTTGATCTTTACCTGGCCTTGCTGAGGAACAGGTAGAATTTCTGGGCCTCACTTAGATTCTCCTTCCGGTCCTTTGTAAGCCCAAGCAGGTCATCCCAGGCCTCATTCAACTCCGTCCGCTGCTTCTGCAGGTCATCAGTGGCGTCTGGGTGGGACTCGCTGAGCCGCTCAGCTGTCTCTCCCAATATGATCACCTGAGGAGGTACAAGAGCTCTGATCATCATCCTAGAGTCACACCTAGATCCTCGCAAAAGAAAAGGCCCCAGTCCTGAATGTCCTTGCTCCTCAAACAGACATCAATGAGGTACAAGAACATCTTGCTGCTTTCTCTACAAAAATGGCAGCTCTATTGGTGACTCCCTGAAGTAGCCCACATTGACATGACCATACATCTTTTTTTTCCCCAAAATATATTTTATTGATTTTTTTACAGAGAGGAAGGAAGAGAGATAGAGAGTCAGAAACATCGATGAGAGAGAAACATTGATCAGCTGCCTCCTGCACACTCCCTACTGGGGATGTGCCTGCAATCAAGATACATGTCCTTGACTGGAATCGAACCTGGGCCCCTTCAGTCTGCAGGCTGACGCTCTATCCACCGACCCAAACTGGTTAGGGCAAGTTTTCTTAAGTTGAGAGTGAGGAAGGTTCATACATCTCTTTCCCAGGCTAGGAGGTCTAGAAGCTGTTGTAAACTGTTGATTTTTAAAGGTGTGTGTGTGTGTGTGTGTGTGTGTGTGTGTGTGTGTGTGTGTGTGTGTGTGTGTGTTTAAGTTGTCCTAGTTTTTCTTCCCCTGGAAAGCAGAAATGGTG